TAATAGAATTATAGTTATTATGAGCTTTTGTAGCTAAGAAGTCATCGTTACAATGGTTGTAGTACAAACATGAAGGGCTGAGCTTAATTTTGAAAAAATCCATCTAGGAAATCTTTATCTGAAATATTTCCTTCTCTCTGCTACATTTTTATCATAAATCTTTTTTAGAATGTAACCTCTGACACTGTTTGTCATGGTAAAGAATATGTCAATAGTAAAATTCCATTAATTGCTGTAGAGGGAGTTGGTGTTCAATACTGAAAACAAAACTGAATTGCTTCCGAGTCAAGAAGATAAATGTTTGATACGTAATAAAAGAGTAGCAGTAAGGACTTACCTAAAAGCTTTTGAAGTGCTGTAACTTACTTTTTTTTGTAAATGAGGAACAATTTCCTTGAAGGAGCCACAATCTGATTCCCAGACATAGTCCAGTCTCTCACAAGGTTTACATCTTCAAAACAGAAGCCAAGGCTGGTTGGGTCTGTGATGTCACATGGTTTGGTTTGCTGCTTTGGACACAGGCACAGTGGTGATCTCTGTCCCAAAGATTACAATTGCCTGTTCCTAAAACAGTCCCAACAGATGTTTATCCTGCTCTTCAAAATTCTCTGTGCTGGAGGTTGAGAGGAAGTGCTGGAGGCTTTGAGAGGAAGAGTGTTCCAGTTTCTAATTACCCTTACAGCATGCTACCTTAATCATGTGTTGTGTTGTTTTTTTTTTCATGGGGGGGGGTGTGTGGTTTGGGGGGGGGTGTGTGGTTTTTTTTTTTCTTCAAAAAACTGTCTTTAGAGCATGTTGAATAGCAGTTGTATCCCTAAGTAATTTGGATGTGTGACATCTAACCTGTTCTTCTTTGTATTGTGACGCCTGAGAAGACACTGGGTCTTGCAAAAGGAAGAGAGGCCTTCAGTTCCTATGACTCTCAGTATTTTATTTTGCAGAGTATGGTAAAGAAAGATGAAATGGTGTGGGGAAGAGGTGGGCACTAAAAAACAGGCCACGAAGAGTACGGTTCCCAGCTTTCCCAGTGGAGTTAGGACATAGTCTGGTTTACCTGTATGAAAGGAGTGGATTGTCTAGGTGACAGTGCTTTTGATCTTACTGTGGCACCCAGTAGAGCGGGACTGTAAAGAATTAACTTTGTTAGGTTAACCTTTGCTAAGTTAATAAATAAGTGAGCACCTAGCTATTTATTTTTCACTTATTTTTTCACAAGATGATAAAGTCTGAAAAATGACTGCCATATTTAACCATCAAAAGAGTTGGAAATTTTCTGAGCCTCCTTGCAGGTGACATTAAAAATTATACTAGAAAATAATTTTAATTTCATAAGAGATGCATAATGTAGAGCTGTGGAGTGTCTCTTGGCAAAGAATAAAACTCAAGTCATTTGGAAATCCTGACAGAGGCAGTACAGACTGTTCTCACTTGCTATAAGCTTAGATTAAAAGGATTCTGAATTTTCCCGGCAGCAAAAAAAACTCTATGCTATGTCTACTAGCGTGGAGTGAGAACAAGAGTTTTACTAAATTCAGTACAAGTAACAGGCAGGACTGGGGGTTTAACGCATGACGTAAACTCATGTTTACTGCTGAAGTTGCTGCTGTCTGGTTAGTAAGTGAAAGACTTCTTGGAGTGGCCAGAATAAATGTTGCAGCAAAACCACATGCAGTCTCTCTGGGGTTTGAGGAATGTTGGTTTCCTGGAGTGCTGACATAGTAAGGACAGGCTTTAGGTTGAGAGCATAAATTTACAAACCTTCAACTCCAAACAATCTCAGCTTGGCATATATAAAAGTTAAGATAAAGGGCCTACATCCATCAGTCTGATTTATGAACTCCCCCGTTTTACCTACAGCTTCTTTTGTTCCCTGCATTTGAAATATAAAACCATTTTTGTCTGGTGTCCTGAGGAAGTGGGGTTTATGTGATTAGTCTGCTGGTCTGTCTTTTAATCCCACAGTGATTTTGTTGGACAGGTCAGGTTCAGCCCAGCTTGAAAGGAGTGTCCATCACCAGCTGACAGTTTGAATGTGGCACATTCTTTTTAATGGATAAGAGGTTTTTGCTGTATGGAAGCAAGCTGTGCTGTGCCAGTTGGCCTCAGAGCTTGAGGATGGTGTCTAACTTTTTTAATTCACAAGTGTAAAAATAATCAATGTGTCCTAAAACGGGGCATGCAGTATGGCTAGGATTTGTTATGAACAAGAATAGTTGCAAAATTCTCTTTAGGAGTTTAGGAGACTTCCTGGTGTAACTTCAGAGGATGTGTGAGTCCTCATATTTGGGTTGTTTGCCCGTAACTCTCCTGAACAGTGGGGTGTAGGTACTGTCCCAGCACCTCCTTCCCCATTGAGGAAGTTGTGGCTGTGCTGCACCTACAAATTTTGTTGCTTAAGCAGACCAGGCATTAACTGGGGTGAACTACACCGTGTAATTTTGAGTCTAATTCTAACCATCTTTAAATTTAATCTTAGCTTGATAAGAAATGTTGGCTTTTAGGTTAGAAAAATCCCGAAGAGAAGCTGAAGTATTTTTACAAAGCAAAGTAGTAATTTTAAAAGTTTGGTTACATCTGTCACCCTGGAGGCTCACTGCTGGACTTAGGTCTGTGCCTGTGTGGTGCCAGCTTTTTAAAGAGCTCAGATGACGATAATTAGGGGGCTAAGAATTTATGCCTTAAAAGGAGAGGTCGAGAGAGCTCATTTTGTTCAGTCTTCAGGGTATTCAGTTACCTGTTGGGGGGGTATGGAGGAAGCGGAGCCAGAATCTTAGAGGTGCACAGTGACAGGACAAGAGGCAACGGGCACAAGCTGCAACAACAGAAATTCAGAAGAAATTTTTTGCTGTGAGGACAGGCAAACATGGAAACAGGAGTGCAGTGAAGCTGAGAAATCTCCATTCTTGAAGACACTGAGAACTCAGTGGGACCAAGATCATGAGCAACCAGGTCCACGTTGGCCCTCCTTTGGGCAGACTTTTGGCCCAGGTGACCTCTAGGGGTCTGTTCCAACGTGTTGTTCTGTGACACAGCATAGGGTGCGGCATGAGTTTCAAGTGCAGTTCTCTATGAAACAGCTTATCACTAGATTTGCATTCAGGAAGGCATGTTTTTAATGTATAGTAGAAGCCCGGAAATGGTAATACTAATTGAATTCTGGAAAACTGAATAAAATTGCTCTTTGTGCCATGAAGTTTTTGTGTGTTGACTTTTCATTAGATGGCACTTTCCAGATGCCTGAATTGAGGGCTGTGCAGAAATGCTTCTCCAAACAGTGTTTAGGGATTGTTCTTTCATTAGTAAACAACTTGTATGATAAATATTTCAAAAAAATCTGTTTGTTTTCCAAAGTTAGTTCCTAGTTTTAGTCTTAATCGTTTTGCGATTCAGCTCCCTGGTTGTCAGGTGGGGAGACCATCATTGCTTTACAGGGACAATGTAGTGGTGACTGTCAAAGTCCAAAAGAACATAAATAATTCTTCCTTCAGAACAGGGTTTGTCCTGATACCCGTGTATTGCAATAGAAACAGAAGAAAGCAAAGCTTCAGTCCGTCCTGTGTGGAGGGACTTTCAGGGGAAAAAACACAGGTGATCATTAATTAATCGGAACAGCTATGTGTGAAGAGACCAGCCCTAGTTGTAGCATTTCCTAACTTTCCTGTAATGTTTTCACTGTATTCTTTTAATAGTTTTTTGTTTCTAAGTATAAATCACAGTTAAAAATTGGAGCTATTTTTACAGCATTTCACACTTGCATCTTTTTGTTGTTTATGGAAGAACACAGCTGAAAGAGTCTCTATTGTAGCAGATGGTGCCGGTTAACACATACCGCGCAGCTCAGTGCAGCGACTGTCTCTCAGATTCTGAGCTCAGTTCTGTTCTCATCGCCATCAATGGGAGTTTTGCCGTTGCATACCTTGCGAGTGTCTCTTTTACTGATGTCCAGGTGATGTAGTCCAGCTAATCAAAGAACTTGTATGTGATGCATATGCTTTATACGGAGTGCACAAAGATGTTCCTGAGATCAGTATCTTGGAGTCTGTAAGCGGTGTTGGAAAAATGAAAATAACAGACATTGAAAGTCCCTAAAAATCTCTAGTGTTCAGGAAAGTGTCTGCTTAAATTCATTTGTATTTTGAGAACCCCTGAAGACTTTTTGAACTTTTAAGTATGTCCAAGTATGCATGCTGCCCTTTCTAGGGGACAAAGTGTATTAATGGAGCATAAACAGAATGTGCATTAAGAGCGTAGAAGCACAAAAGTAACTGCTAAATATTAAATAACTGCAGGAGCAGGGGAAGTAAGGCCAAACACTTCAACCATCAACGCATGCCTTATTTTTAATAAACCTGCTGATACTAAAAGGCCGTTTTAGAACAAGAATGGTAAAGTTGCACTAGGAAGTGATCTAAAGTTCAGATGCTCTGGATTGAAGGTTGCTTGTCACACCTTAATGCGTATCTATTGTGGGTATGCATTATAATAATCTTTTACTGGGAAAAATCCCTGTAAAGTGGGAACATAGTCCTTGACTTTAGTGAGTGGAAAATTAGATCTGCTTAAGACCATTCACTTGCCCTGCCCTTAGAAGCCTATAAATATACATGAGAACAGTGTATTTGCTGTTGAGGGCACAGTAAGTGATAGGAGGAGATGTTATTTTGGAAGTAATGCTTTTCTCTTCAGAGATAACTGGAGACATCTGTGAGCTACAGGGCCTAAAAGTCAGGCAGTGGTTTTGAATGCAGCTGATTTTATGAACTTTTGAAAGTTGTTACAATTCTCTGATTTACAAGGTCTCTTTTGTCTTTTGATAGTACTCTACAAACACGCATCAGCTGTAAATAAATCAGGTGGGAAATCGTGATTCTATGTGAAGTTGTTAATTTGTGAAACAGGAAGAATACCCCACTGCTGGAACTTCTCTCTTTCCAATGACTCTAAAATATAAAGCAGGGATCAACATCTTATTTGTTCTCTCTTTTGCCTTTCAGGTCCAAACCATGAATTACGTTGGACAGTTAGCAGGGCAAGTGTTTGTGACTGTGAAGGAGCTCTATAAGGGACTAAACCCAGCCACGTTGTCGGGATGTATAGATATAATTGTTGTACGTCAGCCAGATGGAAATCTTCAGTGTTCTCCTTTCCATGTACGCTTTGGGAAAATGGGAGTCCTACGTTCTAGGGAGAAAGTGGTAAGAAAATTGACAATTTTGATATGTTCTGTCCGTGAGGTGAAAATGGCATGAAAGTTACTGAATATTCTGTGGTATGCTAGTCAAGGTTTTCTTTAGATGCTCTTTGGGTGAAAATGGCATGAAAGTTACTGAATGTTCTGTGGTACGCTAGTCAAGGTTTTCTTTAGATGCTCTTTAAAAAATGCCCAAATTGAGGCTAGATTAAATTAAAATGGTTGTTACTGATTCTTTCATTTCAAAGCATAATTTTTAAGACATTGACTGTAGTAAAAACAAAACAAACCATGAAATTTGTAACATTTATTTTCAATAGAGCAAAATTTTCAATGTGCTGATTTGGGCTTATATTTCATTAGCGACTGTGTATTAAGACCCCTTTGTTCATTGCTAGTTACAAAAAGAAAGTTAATAATGAAGTAATATTTTCAGATAATGTTGAGGTTAATTGAAGCTGGAAAAAGCAGTGAGGACCTTTAGATAAATGTAACCAAGCTGAATGATTTGGCATATAATATCATATGTGAAGTTGCTGATGAGTGATGCATGACAGATTACTTTAGGAAATGATTTGTAACTACATATAGTCTTTGTTCTAATGTAGCTATAATTGTTCGGCAGAAAGATCCTAATGTCAGCATGAACATTGTTCAATTCTTACATGAATCAGAAAAGAATACCAATATTTAGGATGGGAAAAAGTTGAAAATGCCAATAGTATACTGTGTCCTGAAATATAGCGTAAATGTAGGCTTGTCCAAGTCTCCAAAAAAACGCCAATATTTAGGATGGAAAAAGTTGAAAATGTTACTGTGCCAATAGTATACTGTGTAGTGAAATATAACGTAGATGTAGGCTTGTCCAAGTCTCCAAAAAAACCCTACCAGTGAAAATGGAGTTGGTGGCAAGAACAGTTATAGGCAAAGAGAGAGATCCTCCTGAGAGGAAATGGAAATAGTTGTGGCTACGTAGTGATGAGATAAATGTGCGGAAGTGAGACAGGGGGGTTTAAAGTTAAAAGACAATTTTTCTTACTTGTGCTTTAATGAATTTGAAAGACAGGATATTGAGAATTTGCATGTGGAAGCATAATTAGGCTATGAATTAAAAGAACAAAAAGATTCGTGTGGTGAGTGAAGCATTCAGAATTACACTTAAAAAGATACAGGCCTTTATATAATGGCTGTAAACCTTCCTGAGTAGAGAGCAAAAAAGATTTGTGTGGTGCATGAAGCATTCAGAATTACATTTAAAAAGATACAGGCCTTTATATAATAATGGCTGTAAACCTTCCTGAGTAGAGGAGCAAGACAGCAATGAGCGGAATGAGTTATAAAAACATTCTGGCAATTGATGGCCTTCTGAAGGGGTAGGGGAAAACCAGAATAGTTCACTATTTTATGTTTATTGTAAGATTTCCTACACTTCCCTGGGAAGCATTTGCCCAGTGACAGTGGTAGGATAGCTGAACAGGAACTGTGTACCTAAAATAACTTTATTTTCATTTGTGAATATATTTATTTTCTTCCAGGTTGACATAGAAATTAATGGAGAGGCTGTAGATTTGCACATGAAACTAGGAGATAATGGAGAGGCCTTTTTTGTGCAGGAGATGGATAATGACCAGGTAGGAGTCAAAACTAATTTTAATTTGTTAAAAATGCAATGCCTGCTCTTCAGAGTCAGTTATGAATGTTAAGATTTTGTAAACATACCTTTGCTGATTTTATAGTTTTGAAAGTTTCTGGACAATTTTCTGCTATGGAAATTTAATACTATTTCGTTACTTTGGATTTTGCATTGCTGAGATTGAAAAAAATCTAAAGAAGGTAATCACATAACTAAAAAACAAATCAGAGTTTGTGTGTACACCAGAAGTAACATGCACATAGTTCACATGCTCTGAAGATGTGTGCTATGGAGGTTAATATGGACCTGTTTTTTGCAGAAATCTTTACTTTGAACATATGCACTCAGCAGACTACCAGTAAAAGTGTGCATGCCCTGTAAACATCTGCACACGCAGTAATTCTGGTACTCACCAAAGATCAAATCAGAGTTTGTGTGTACACCAGAAGTAACATGCACATAGTTCACATGCTCTGAAGATGTGTGCTATGGAGGTTAATATGGACCTGTTTTTTGCAGAAATCTTTACTTTGAACATATGCACTCAGCAGACTACCAGTAAAAGTGTGCATGCCCTGTAAACATCTGCACACGCAGTAATTCTGGTACTCACCAAAGATGTGATCTTGCACTTGTTGTTCATGTGGAATTATATTTAAATGAGAATGCCTTCTGTTGAGCTATGTGATTAAATACTAGTCTATATAAGTTATGGTTACGCTAGTTTTGAATAGCCCACATGTAATGTAACATTAAGAAAAGCTTTTTATAGGCACTTCTCTTCAGATATCCCCAATATTTTTTTGTCACTATCCAGGGCATGATGAGTTCTCAATTTTTATATTGAGAACGATACTACTAGTTTCAGGTGATTGCTATATGCGTGTGCGACATTCATCTCTATATATTTAAAACTTCTGATCTCTATATTTAGATCTTCTGTGTGGTCACAGTTATTTGGTGACTGAAAATTGCTAGAAATACTTCCATTAATGTCTAGAGATGTGTACGATTGAATAAGAGGATGTTTGTGTGACCTAGTTATAAACCACTGACCTTTCTAACTACTATCTGTCATCTGAATTGGATTTTACTAAATGTTCAGGTTGCAAATTAGGATTTTGTTTCTGCTCTGTATCTAGCATCGGGTGGATAGAGACTCATGCCATAAGCTGGCCAATGTTAGATGCTCAGAGTATCCTTTCTATTAAGAATATGGTTCTCCTTAAAGATGCAGCCATGAAACAATTTTCGTATGCTATAGGATCAAGAGTATGGTTCCTGGCTTGTTTAAGGAGATGCAGCTATGAAACAATTTTCGTATGCTATAGGATCATACTGAGCACCCAGATGTCTAATCTTTGTTACTTTTCTGGGGAGTAAAATGACTTAGATTTTAGCAGTTGTGTGTAGATTTTAGAACCAGATTTATCATGTTGCATGTTTTGCATTTTTTTTCTTTCTCAGGAGGTAATTCCTTATCATCTCTCCTGACTTAGATTTTAGCAATTGTGTGTAGATTTTAGAACCAGATTTATGATGTTGCATGTTTTGCATTTTTTTTCTGTCTCAGGAGGTAATTCCTTATCATCTCTCCACATCTCCCATTCTGTCTGAGGGAACTGCTTTAATGGAAGCTCAGCTGAAGAGGAACTCCATAGATAGGAGAAGAAGCCTGGACACAAGTGCATCCTTACAAGTACTGCCCCAACCCCACGGATCCCAGCCTTCTACGGAAGCATCTCTAGTCTGTAGCTCTGTGAAAAAAAGGAGGAAAAAGAGGAGGAAGTCTACCCATAAAATAGACAGCTTAAAAAGAGAAGACAATGGAGATACATCAGAAGATGAAGACGTGTTTCCTATAGAGATTAGCTCAGAGGAAGAAAAAGAACCACTGGAGAATTCAAGGTATCGCAGTGAACGTGAGATACATAATGGAAACTTAATGCTGGGTTAATGTTCCATTCCATACCTCCTAACAGTAATTTATACCTAAGTCAGTACATGTGTTTGATGAACATGATTCTTTAAGAAAAACCTTTAGGCTAGAAAGCTATTGAGACTGTTACTCACAAAAATAATGAAAATTACATCGAGAACATAATGTTACTAATAAAAATAATGAAAATTACATCGAGAACATAAGAACAATCCTCCATCATGCTGTGAACTAGAAGGTGTGAATCAGATAACATTTCTCTATCTCTTTTTAGTTCAGGTTATACTAATTCTTCTCTACAGTACATTTTTTTGTTATCTGGAGTATAAGACAGTTCAATAATCAAGTATGGTTTTCAAATGTCACATCTTTCCCTATACCTAGGATCCCTGTTCCAGATGTGTTAGTTGATGAAGTATCTGACATCAAGGCTCCTGCAGTTTCTACGTTTTCTCAGTCTGCATCTTACCCTCATTCAGATGGAGAATGGTCACCTATTCAAAGGTACTTTTTTCTGATAGTACAGTTCTAAGTGAACTTCCTTTAATTTCTTATATGCTAGTGCTGTATGAAGTCTTACTACAAATTTTGATATCAAACATGTTAGTTGATGAAGTATCTGACATCAAGGCTCCTGCAGTTTCTACGTTTTCTCAGTCTGCATCTTACCCTCATTCAGATGGAGAATGGTCACCTATTCAAAGGTACTTTTTTCTGATAGTACAGTTCTAAGTGAACTTCCTTTAATTTCTTATATGCTAGTGCTGTATGAAGTCTTACTACAAATTTTGATATCAAACATGTTCAGCGTCGACTACTAGATGAGTGCTTTCTTTATTTGAAATCAGGTACTGTAAAAAAACTTTAGGTTAACTTTTTCCTTGATTCAACAAATGCATGCATACAAATGCAGGTCCACAAATTCTGAAGAATATTTATATCTGTTAATGTCACTGTTTGCATATACATACTGCAGAGAGGATGAACACTTTGTGAAATCTGAATCTTTGCCTGGTGCACATACCTTATAAGGACTTCAGTGAACGCAAGTCTATAAATCTTCAGTACTTCAGGTGTAATCCTTTAAGAGCTTGCAAGATTGCAACTGAAGTATAAAAATAAGGTCCTTTTGTAAATGAATAAGAATATGGGCTTCTTATGTCCCTTTCAAAGCTAATCAGTTGAATTGCAGAGGTAGACAGACATGAAATATTATTTGAAAAAAATACATACAGTACTTTGCTTATTTTTTCCTGTATGTGTATTTGTGTTCATGTGTCTTTAATGACAAACCAGATTAGTTTGGACCTCCTTTTTTGTGTTTGTGGAACACTGTCAAAAAGGGGCAATTTTTTGCTTGATGTGCATGGCACTGTAATTCCAGTGAAGTCTGTGTGTGTGTCTGTGCACATGTGCCTCATCTTCCATGCAGACTATTGGAGTGGGGCAGTATTCACAAGACCTTATCCTAAGAAGTCTATTCTCAACAGACTGCCTCCGTAATTGAGGGACAGAGGAAGGGAGAGCATGGAAATGATTTCAGAGCCAGGGCTTATTTTGAATTGCATTCTGGAAGAAATGTTCAACACTGACTGTAGAGCTTAATGTGATTAGCTTCACCAGTCTGGTGACAGCCTGTGTCAATAACTTGCCCTTTGGGTGGCTTTTTGAACTGTAGGTTCTGTTTGCTGCTTGATTGCAGTATTCTGGATTTTGAAAGCTCTAGATGTAAATTCAGCATTCATGTAGCTAATGCACAAAGAGCTTAAGTTAATCAACACTTGTGAATAATGACACCCTGTTTTTCTTTCTACCAACATGCTGTGTGCTATCCAGTAAGCCTATAGATTGCACAGGGCAATCCTCTCTTCTCACTGTTCCAGCAGATGGAGGCCTATCTAGCTCTTGTCCTCAACAGTCTTCTCACTTTTCTCCTCCAGACAGGTAGAACAGTTGTGTCCTTCCTCTTTTCTGCACTGCTCGTTAATTCTTTTAACACATTAATACACTTCTAACACATTAATAGTATGTGAACTTTGTTGAACTTAAAACTGCATTTACTGCTAACCCAGTCACTTTGAAAGAAAGTGACACTGAAAACCACTACCTCTGCTTGCTTCTTTGTGGGCATTGACTGGAGGTAAGCTGCCGTCATGAATAATCTGTTGAGTGAGGGTGACTACTATAAAATCAGGCCAATGAAAACCTGGGTTAAAACTGGAGTTGATTAAGTTGGTAACAAAAAAAAGAAGAGCTTAGTTAGTGAAAACTTAGATTCCTCTGAAGATCGACATTTCCATGTGGCTTTTCACAGTCAGTCTATATTTTAATGACATTTTTATCCCATGGTTTTGCTAAGTTGTTTGCTTGTGTGTAGATTGCAAAAGTAAAAGCAAAATGAAGGCATCAGAGATTAAGTGAGCAATAAGGAGTGCAAAACTTGTGATGGGAGTAGCCCAGTACCAAAAGAGAACTTCTCTTTCTTGTTCCCTGCTTTGAGGGAGGGGACGAGTTTGTGTATTGGATTGCAGTGGTGGAACATCCTATAAAGTAGAGGTGACACAATAGATCAGGCATCTTGCCTAAGGTTTATGAGACCCAGACTTAAGCCTTTGCTGCAGTGTAGGATTCATCTGACTGTGGTCTCTTTTCTACAGAGCTAAAAATGGATACAGACACTTTTAATGATATATATGTACAGCTAAGGTACTGTAGTAACTTGTCTGAGTAAGGTCCTCTCTGTTTCTGCAACTATTTTCCTCTATGTGGAGTAGGAAACTATTATTATGGCCACCTCAAAGGAGGTTCAGAGGCTCTTAGCTGTTGTGGTGACACGTACTTCTTGTGCAGTGTTGACAGGATGGGTGGCTCTAGTTTGATCTGCGATATCTCGGCAATCTGTGTGAGGCAAGAGAATTTCATCTGGGCTGCATCACTGCCTAACGTAGGGACGGGGGAATTGCAAGGCATAGTTCAGCCCAAGACGAACGTCTTGGTGGTATAAGGAATAAAGAACCCATTTTGAGTCTGATCCATGGATGCATTTGCAGGATACTATTGCTGGTTTACAAATCCTATGCAATCTTGGTAGTCAGCCTTATTGACCACTAGTGCAAGTGTAACATTAATTCAGGATTTAATTTGATGTAACCGAGCTAGAAAAAAATTAAAGGAATGTGATTGTGAGCTTTATTGGCCTTCAGTCTCATTTTGCTTTGCTGGCAGCAGTATGAAGTGCATAGCAGCCAAAATAGTCCCAGTGTTGGTGAAGGAGACGGCATCTGGCATTACATATGGAAGCAGAACTATACAAACAGGAAGTATCCAAACAGGACTGTAGTAGCCATAATTGCCATCTGCATCCATAAACTACAGAGACTATTGTTGCTGTTCCAGAAGGATATTACTTGGAGAGAGTAGCTATTGAGTGTTAAACGACAGTATGGCATATGAAGAAAACAGTAAAGGTATTTCTCTGTAATGGAAAACCAGCTCTCACCAGAAGGCCGCCAACTCTGTATTAATATCTGTGGGTGGCATAGAAAATTCCGGCTTATTTTTCAGATGATATAAGGAGTGAGAATGCTTTAGTATACCTTTATACAAACAAAATAATTTACCCCGTTTGCCTTTTGGATGCATGTTTGCAGTCTGATTTGGTCTTGGGCCTTTTAAATTAAAGTGGCATTGCAATGGTAATTCCGGCCTATCCTGAGGTTGTATTAGCTTTTCTACACTAATCTATAAGGAGAAATCAACTGAAAAGAATTCTGAACATCTAACATTTTGTTACTAGCAAATCCGTATATTTTATTGTATAGAAAAGCAGTATTTATAGAGTGAGAATTAAGATGTCTCCATTGTGCACGTGTCAAAAGTTCAGTAGGCAGTGTGTATTTTGTGTACTTTCTTTTGGGAGAGTGGGTAATATTTTGGGGGTTAGATGCTCACACTGTTCCTAACTTACCATGGTTATATTTCTAGTTACATCTACTCTGAACCATAAGTCAGATGCGTGCATGGATCATCGGGCAGCCTTTTGCAGCAAGAGCCTTCTCAGGGCTATTTTAACATACGCACATACACAAGTGCCATGGCACTTGCATGTGTGTATCTGGGAATATACATCATGGTTCTTGGTGCTGAGTAACAGCCTGGACTTCTTCCCCAGTCAGTCGTGTGTACAAGGGAACTGTATTTTCAGGGAAAATAATGGAAAAGACAAGGTACCTGCCCCTGTCCCCTATCAGTGTTCTCACTGCAAAATGCAGAGGTTCTAGCCCAAACTGAAGCAATGCCTGCCTCAGGTTGTCTGGCTGGGTGAGTGAACCCAAGCTGAACATACCCCAAAGCCCAGACTGGAGATTTTTCTAAGTAAGCAGTAGCTATTTTCAAGGTTAAAATGTGTGTAGTGCACAGATGAACTCCTGGAGTGACAACACTTCCTTAAATCTAGATGTTTGGGGCTTAAAGCATCAGTAGAAGCATTATTGCCTGCTGAGATTTTCTGAAGCAGCTGGGCTTCTGATTTCCAAGGTGTCAGTGGGCCCTGGATGCATGGAAGATACTGTAAATCCTGCAAACTTCTCAGTGGGAGATGTAGAAGTTGCTGAAAATCCCACCAGGCATTTCTTGAATCCTTAGAGCTTGACAATACTTCTGAAATAATATTTTATTGATTCCTTCATCTGTCAAATGGTAGGTTATACCCAAAGGACTAATAGAAGTTTGAAATTCTTAGAACCAAAAAAGATGCTCCACAATATTGTTTATAAATTTTACAGCTTAATTAGATAACATAATTATCTATAGCTAAAAAGTCACAGAGTCCATATTCAAAGTATATCTTACTGCAACATAGATGAAAACAAGCAATAAAGTAGATAAGTAGATTGCTGTTTTTTCAGATGTAGAATTCACTGATTTTTAAAAGCTGCTTCATGTTAGTGTGAAGCAATTATTTACCTGTAACCAATGAATTCCCTACCAGCTAGCTCTACAAAACTGCTTTCCATTGGAAGAACAAAACTGGTTTGGGCATTCAGTTTATCCAGAACAATGTAAAGAATAAATCAAACATAAAGAATTTATAGTAAAAACAGGAAGCCTTTTGTTTTTGAGAGTGAAGGTAGCTCACTTTGGACCTTTGATTTAGGAATGTTGTGGATTCTTTTGTTGCTTGAGTTTTTAAATCAGGATTGCATGAGTATACCACAGACATTCTGTGGCTCAGACAAAAAATAATGGGCTTTGTTCATGGGCTTCTGGGTGAAATTCTATGACTTGCATTGCACAGAAAGGCAGAACAGATAATCAGAATTTTTCTTTTTGTCCTTTAAATCAGTGAATCATTATTAATGGCTGACTTTACTGCATTAAAATATGCTTCAAACTGATAATTTACTATTAATTATTAAATATTTTATACTCAGTAGTCAGCAAAACAGACAGTTAAATATTTTTGCACTGGAAGGGCTCAAATTCTTTGTTTGGCTCTGCTGCTGGTTTTCTTATAAACATGCATCCAAGGGTAGAACTGAACAAGTTAGTGGAAGGAAGTAACTGACTGGATTCCTTAGACTAATTTATTACTTACTCAGGATAAAGCGTCTTGTTGATGCAAATGAGTCATTTCTGCACTTCACATCCATTATAACAATACTAATCATCTATTCATCCACTTCTGCTGGTACCATACCTGTTCTTTTCTCCACACAGAAATCCAAAAATCCTCCTGAAATGTGCAGGTCCAGTGCTCTTGTTCCATCTCTTTGAGCTTCTCAAATACTGCTTCTGTGATGGCACTTAATTAAAAATGGATGAGACCTCTGAATGCTAGTCTGAGAGGATCCCAAACTGTTTAAACTGTTTTTCCATGCTTTCAATTGGCTGATAATTACTTAGATTTATCAATGTTTTGGGTTGGTGGGTATCAGTTTGGGAAGTGTGTAGTTCATTGTGGTTACTTTTTTTTGGTAGTATTTTTGTAATAAGTAGTGTTTCTGTTTGTTTGTTTGTTTTTATTCAGTCCATCAGGTTCACGCCCTCCTACTCCTATAAGTGACTCAGAATTAGTCAGTAAACCTACAGACAGAAGTGGACTGAAGAATAATCCCCACATGCACTGGGCCTGGGGAGAGCTACCCCAGGCTGCAAAGGTATCCAACGTAATTTTTTAAATTCCTGATAGCATCTGTTGTGCTTTAATGGGGAAAATGTGCTTATTTTATTGCAGACTGCTGAAGAGGGAATGGATTTCGTGTTTACATAAAATTACAACGTTTATGTAAGAGTATTGCATCTGGCTCGTTAGGAGGTACAGGAGAGTGCCTTGTGCCATGGATGTTCTCAACACCGAGGATACACAATAGAATATGAGGAAATACCCAAGACCTATTCTTGCAAAAGTTAGAAGCTTAAATAACATACAAAGTAAAACTCAATGTCCTTTGGTAAATCATTGACATTCATAAATGGTCTTAGGTGGAAATTAGGTGTTAGCAGTGTGATTCACAAAAATTAAAATCTGTTGCCTGAGTAATAAGCATCCAGAAACACCTGCAGTTCTGTATCTCTGCACGCCCAGCCATGCTGTTCTGTTGGCTGAACTGGCTGGCTTGGTGCCTGTCTCCTGCCTGAAGCCATTTGGCCCAGTTTGATGGCAGGGTCTGTAGGGTGCCACCAGCATTGTCTCCTGTGCTGCACAGTGGCCAGGTGCAGCTGAGCACTCTGCAGGTCCACCAGGTGCTGGCCACCTCCTTATGGTAGCTGTGGACTCAGAGTGTTTGTACGGGAAAGGGGAAACTTAGGGATTACGCCTGCCTCAGGGTGTGAGAAATAAAGATCATGTTCCAGTGGCATACTGCAGCTGTGGTGGCAGGGACGGTGCAGGGTTTGGCCTCTTCTGGTGAAGGTTGGCTTCTCTGAAGAAAGGACTGCAAGAGTGATGGGGTCAGGAACAGTATAAAGAAACAAAATTCCTGCTTTGCAGGACAGGGAAGTCATTATCCTCCTCAGAAAGAAGACTTCCGTGTTCTTGTGGTGGCACCAGAATTGTAATGGCACTATTATAATTTATCTTTAATTCACTGTTGGTAGCTAGTGACAAAAACAGGGATGGGAATCCAGAATTCTTAATTCCTTCAGAAGAGCTCTGGCTTCTTCTTTAGTAGGCCAAAGATGAGCTGTCCCATCACTTCTACATTATTCTTCTCCTCATGTATATTACAAGAAAATTGGGAGCTATTTTCTGTACACAGAGAACTGATTTAAGTACACAGGTCCAGGCAGGAGTTTCCAGTTGGCATTTTCAGTCTAGATTTAGGGTTTCCTCTTAGTAGATTTGGGTGTTTCATTTTTATCCTAGTCACACAGCCTGGTGTGTATTGCAAATCTTCTTCCTGGAGGCTTTTCCTTCTGCAGTCCCTGTCTATGTCCCTAGCCAAGCTGTTCAGAGTTGAGCTAACCATACCTGAACTGGCAGTTATGCTTTGGATGCTGTTGATCTTCGTGTAAGTTTGTTTGCTGTGATGTGAAGGTTATAGCAGCTATACAGCTGCTGCTGTAGGTGTTCAGCTCCCCTCTGTAAGAATACCTCGTGGCCCGCACTCAGAGAATATCTAGAATTGCTCCTACAAAGTGATTTCAAATCTAAATGTGGGGTATTGATGAGTGACAATGTACACTTGCCCTGGTCCCTGAGAACATCGTGGTTGTATAAGGACTCCAGTTTGCGCTCCCTTCTTATGTTTGTTGGGGTTACCTTCTGAAGAAAAGCTAGGATTTGCACAGGAGGAGAGGGGAGCAGGGTGGGAGCTGTGATGTGCTCCCAGGCAGGTGAATGGGAAATGAAGACTGTAGAGCACATTGCAGAACAAATCTTTCCTGGCCCCAAGATACAGATGAATTTTGTGCAAGCAAATGCACAGCAGAGGGGTCTTTTGTACACTAACTAGTGGTAGCTTTGTGCTGTAGTTGGTTACCTTGAGAATCTGATCTCGCTGGAGTGAACAGAACAGGTTAAACTCTGTATGTTGCATTTTTTAAGAGCTTTTCTTTGTAGCAATATGTTTTGTTTTTTTTTTTTTCTCTTCATAGGCCAGTTCTCTTGTCAAAGCAAAGGAACCCAGTGTGGTGGATGTAAATCCTTCTGAAAGTACTCACTTTCGGGTCATCCAGAGTTCTACAGAGGAGTTTAACGCTGTGCCTCCTCTGCCTGACCTTGGACAAGCAGATGCAGCAGCTGCTGATGAAAGTGAGCCCTTACCACCTGAGACAAGTAAGCCAGAGGTAGAGTCTCCAGGAGCAGCTGTACCACTGTTGCCTGCCAATGAAGAAATAAAACAAGCTGCAGCTTGCTCAGCCCAACCAGCTGGCAAGACAGATTCCCCTTCCAGAAAGAAAGGTAAAGCTGTTGGTTCTGCACTTTTATATGTATGACTTTGTCTTTAAATTTAATGGTGATAAAGCACCTCATTGTCATATAAATTAATCTGTGCCCTGAAGGCACTTTCAGATCTGGAAAAGAATAAGCTTTGGAAAGAACCTTCAGAACCTGAGCTACGCAGCAGACTGTTCACAGGAGCTATGTAGTAAGATAGAAGATTTTCCTTGGTCTGAGATTTTTGTCAGCTCTGTGCGTGTGAGCAAGACTGCAAAACTTGCTCCAAATTCATTCATACTTGACAGACTCAGAAATTTCACTTTTTGATGCAAGCACACTGTAGATCTGCTGGTTCACTTACTCTGACTACTTTCTGAGTTGTTACGTGTTGCTGGTAATTGTGGAACCTCTCTGTCCTGGTACAAAGTTGTAGTCTGTCTTTTGTACAAGCAACAGATTTACCATAAAATAAGGCGCTTTTGTTTCACATGAGCAATTTCAGTTCTGTGTGGTGTGCATCCTGTCCTGAATTTGTAAAATACAACTTGATCTTCTTTTCTGCTTCTTAATTTCTGGGCTCTATATCCATGGTATTTTATAACTGTTAAAATCTTCACATTAAATTTATTTGCTTATAAATGTTATGTTTTAGAGCTCTGATTATTCTGTAATTACGTAAGCCCTATATAAGCCCAGTTTGTGCAGCTGCTTTTTAATTAGTAAACATCCAAGTTTCTTAGCCACTTCCCCATGCATTCCACTGTCTTTGAAGACAAAAGTGACAGTGTTACTCTGTTTACTCTTCAATCTTTACATAACTTTTTTTCTGATTGCTTTTCTGATGTTGAAAATCAGGACAGTGAGGAGTTGTGGGTTTTAGAGTGAATTCCAAATTAGGTTTTGGCCTTGCAGCAGTTACTCATCTAGAAGTACCAGCAAAAATAGGACAGCAATGACTCTGTGTGTTAGTACTAGTGAAAGACCTAGGAGGATTGTCTTGTCCCCTGCAGTGATGCATGTGCACACCCAACACATCACCTGTATGTGCTAAAAAGTGAGTTGTCTCCATAACAAGCCAGTTACAGTCTGTTAGCAACTATAGTGTAGTCTGTCATGTTATTTCTTTTACAAGGGGATATTGAAGATTAGTTCTCAGAGATTAAATGCTTTGGTTGCCTTATTGTGACAATATTGTGAAATACTCAGAAAGTTTTCCTTTTGCTGTTTTCCTACAATGACCACTGTGTTCTGATTCCCAGTGGTTTTATCTGGGATAGGGGGCTTTCAGCATATCTCAAAACTAGTCCTCTGCTGTCCCATTTTGTGTATTCAAAGTCTGAACAATGTATATAAGCAGTTTGTTTTGAAATTTTTGTCAGTACCATTTTATACAAATACAGTTCACAAACTGTTATGACTTGTCTGGTTTCTCAATATTAAAATGAACAGTTAAACAGTAATAGTTCTGTCTTGTTACTCAGAAAATATTCATTAAGAGTGTTGATTTGTGCCATCTCTTACAGACAAACGAAGCCGGCATCTTGGTGCTGATGGTGTCTATTTAGATGACCTCACTGACATGGATCCAGAAGTTGCTGCACTTTATTTCCCCAAGAAGTATAAGTCTATTGCTTATGTTTTTACTATTTAAAGAGCTCTTGTCACCTTCCAGATTTAGATCAAACTCTTCATTGCCAACCAGATAAAACCTCTTTTTCAGAGTACAAGCAGAGGTGAAGGCAGAAGGAAAATAAAACTCTGTAGAGAGGAATATTAGAGCTTTTAGAAGGCTCTGCGTTTGGGCCTGAAATGTGTGCTTGAAACTGATTTTCTGTTTTGGTCAATTAAGCACCATATATTGATCGTGGATTGTTATGTAATGTACACTGATGTTTGTGAGTGTTAGTTACATGTCCTGGGAGAGCAATTGGCCTTGGGATATATTTATCCCCATGTCCTTGCTTATTACTGGGAAGAACATATCTTACTGTTAACAGTATTAATACAAAATTATTGCTCTAATGTTGTTCTGCTATGAGTGATCATCTATAAATATGAATGTCAGGAAGTAATTTTTGTATGACACATGAGAGGCTTATTTATGAAAATCCTACACCCTGAAAATAAAATTTCCAACTTGTTCCGATTTTTATTAGAGCCTCTTAGAACATTTATAGTCCTCTTTCTACATCATCTTCCATTCTAGTCATTTGACTAAAGTCATTGAGCAACAACTGAAGTAACTTGCATATTTTATTTTTCTTTCTTGCTTGCTTAAACTCAACTGTTGTAATATTAGCATTTCAATAAAAGAGAGAAAGATTTTAAATGGGTATAATTATTTATTGTTTCTTAACATTTTAATCCTAGTAGTTTATGTGTAGAGTATTTTATTTATTTATATAGACAACATAAATACACAGACATACACATCCTTTGTTTTGGGTTTTGCTCTCAGTTTATTATGAATTCAAGAGTAAACTAGTATATTAGTTCTTGTTCCTGTGTGGGAATGTTGCTACTAGTATAAACTCTGCTTATTGTAGTGTTACTTTGTCTACTAAGATTGTACAGTTTATTGTCTTATTTTTCCTATCTCTTGTAAATAAATGAAGCTGTAATTATACCTGCCTAGTTTAGGCAAGTAAGTAGAAGCAGTCTAATATTTGAGGGTACATGAGTCCTATACTACTGTATTTAAGTTTTATCGCAAAAACAAGCAAATTTCTTATTTTTTTTCTTTTTTGCTACATAAGTGTCAGATGTAAACAGTACTTGTTGAAGAGAGAGAATTTGGGAATGAATACATGAAGACTGAAATCCTGATTTTTCTTTTCCAGTGGGGATACTGTCCAAAGCAAAAACACGAATGACACGGGGCCTTGGTCCACCAGCCAGTCTCCGCAGTCTGTTGGGAGCTCAGGTGTTGACAGTGGAGTTGAAAGCACCTCAGATGGAATTCGAGATTTGCCCTCCATTGCCATTTCTCTCTGTGGAGGCCTTACTGACAACAAAGAAATAACCAAAGGTACAGAATGACTTTGTGAATTACAGGCAAGTGCTGTCAGCCAAGTTTAGCATCCTCGACCGAGGAAGCAGTGCCCTCCTGTGGCTGTACTCAAGATTGTCTTGAGAAGATTTTTATTTCCTGGTAGTACTAGGTTTTGTATCACAGGGAGAGTTGGAAACTTGAACCTGAGTTCCTACTCTACCTCTTGTGTGACTTTTAGAAAAATCATTTGCGATGCTCTATGCCTTAAACTTCCAGCTGCATAATGTGAGGATAAATGTGTTAAGACTTGCACTTCCTGCAGTAATACGGCATTGTAGAATTGTATGAGCCTGATGCTACACCGACTCCTCTTCAGAAGTTAGTTATTAAAACATTTCAAATATACTGTGATTTACTGACTTTGTATTGTTATCTGAATCAGTTTTAAATTAAGCAGATTTTATGAAAGGAGTCACAGCCAATGGAAAGGATATTTATTCATAGGCACTTTCATTTTGCTGTAGCCCTTACAAGTGATTGTTAAGTTTCTGGCTGGGGGTTTACATATCTGTTGAGCCCATCAGATCCTGCTCCTAACTTGGACAGGGATCAGTGAAAGGCATGACAAAGTATTTTCTTGCCTTGCTTAGAAGCCAGACTTTCCTCCCTCACAGTTCCATCCCTGAACTTTCACTAGATTGTATTTTGAAAAGGAAAGACACCCACCCAGCAGCTGACAAAGAAACCCTCAACATCTTCCGAGGCTGAAAGTCTCTGAACATCTTAGGTCCGTATTACTGCGGATCTAGTAATGAAGGGCTGACCCTGAATGTCAAACCTATGTGTCTGAGAGATGCCAAGAGGCTTAGGTTGACCCATCCCAGGCATCTATAAATGCATGCTTTACATATGTGGTTTTTTTTTTACCCCCCCACAGAAGAATTCCTAGCACATGCAGTAACATATCAGCAATTTGTGGACAATCCTGCTATCATTGATGACCCTAACCTTGTGGTTAAGATTGGAAATAAGTAAGTATATTTCAGGAAAAAAATAATTTACTGTTGTAACAAAAACACTTCTGTGGCAATTCAATGTGTTAGATCAGTTTAAGTGTACCTGGAAAATAAGTTTTGAATGTTCATAGCTTAGATTCATCCAGAAAGAGTCAACTCTCTAGTGAATTCAGGCTCTTCTAGTTTCCTCCTTTAAATTGAAAGTAAAAAGCAGTTTTAGATGACCTGTTACAGCTAAGTGACACAATTGGAATTTCAAGAAGCTGGTCTTAAATGCTAATAGTGTTCACACTCAATTGGAAGAGTAAAAATGAAATAGGATGAGAACTTGCTGAGGCTTGCCGTGAGACAGTTTGAATAATTAATATTTACAGGGATATGGCAGTCTGCTTGCAAACACTCTGTACACAGCAGGTTGTCTGTATATACTGTATATTTGCCTAATATGTCTCTATGGAGGCATTGCTTTTTAAGACTTGTCAAACTTCATCCACTGAGTATGAGACTTCTATTTCTGCAAGGCTAAGACATTTTCATATGTTTGTATTGCTGGTAGTTATGCAGCACAATGGTCTATGCCAGCTGCAGCTTTTTGGAGGGTGTTTTAACTTGAGAGCTCCTCACACCTGGCATACAATGTTAGAGAGTAGAGGAGAGATCCTGGCATTGCGCTGTGCTTAGAGGTTAGGCTACCCTTAGTCATAGACATCACTCATACAAATCTGACATGTCTGGTGCATCTTTATGTGATAGCTTGTATTGTGTATGGTACAGCCTCATACCTGACCCTCTCTGTGGTCTGAGGTGAGTTACTTATTGCTTCCTTGCCATAGTTCTCCAAATTTGATGGCCATGTTTACCTGGCTACTGATATGTATGGAAAAGAGGAGTACTTAGTGAGGATCTTACTGTCACATTCTCTGGATGTCAGTGAGCTTCAGCTTCCCTAGACAGATAGATTACAATACTGTATTTGTCCTGTTTGTAACAAGCGTTGACCCATGTTCAGCACATAATAGCAAAAGCTTGACAACCTACAGACTACGGCCCTAACTTTTGTGTAGGTCCTTGATGGAAAAATAGTAAAAGCAGCTTGTTAAAAATGTAGCTCATGCTGTGATAATGAGGTACAGTAAGGGTGTGAGGAATGTACGACAAATGCTATTTCTAATTAAAGATTTAGCTTCTTTTGCATATCTTGAAAAGTATATGCCGTAAATACCTTTGAACATTCTGTGGAATAAGGTGGGTCTGCTATTACTGGTGCAGGCCAGAGTTTGACCTGTGCTAAAGAGGCTTCCTGGCTTTGACTTGCCGGATAATAAATACTAGGTAAATTGTGAATTGGAACCTTGGGATTACAGAATGCAGTAATTATCTCTCTTGCATGCCCAGGTACTACAACTGGACGACAGCTGGTCCCCTTCTGCTGGCAATGCAGGCATTCCAGAAACCTTTGCCAAAGGTGAGATTGAACATGAAGGTTGGTCAGAGGAGAAGTTGTGACTTTTGGCCATTTATTAAGGCAGAGGAGAGGGCTGTTGTACAAAAGAATCTGCACATCAGTAATATCTATCCACACGTAGCCATCTAGCTTATGCTAAGGGCTAAATAAGCGGGACGGAATTTGGTCTGTGAATACTATTTATTTGCTAGGGTAAGATTATTACAAATACTTTGAAGGAGGAAAAACTTCATGTTTTCCTTCATTAATATGGATTGTAAACATAAATGATACTGGCTCATGTTAGTGTTTGCTGTACCTGAGTACTTGGTGACTGCTTTCCAATTTATCTGTATGCAGCATGTATTAACAAATAAAAGTAGAGGCTAGGAATTATAGCCTTAGGGAATAAGCTTTAACTACTAGATAAGGAAGGCCTGTGGCTTGCTGGTTTTCTATTTCTCAGTTGGTTGTTCATAAGCAACCCAGGTGTGTAGTGGCAGATAGCTATGACAATTTAACAGCTATATACGGGCTTATATTAAATGCGTTGATGAACTTAGTCCGATTCCATGTTGTGACCTGGTGCCACATAGATGCTCAGGACAGAAATACTGTAAATGGATATAAATAAGTAGTATCACAATTGTCACTAATTTGTATCCTGGTTAGCCATGGATTTAATAAATTCTGGAACATGACTTTCCTTCTGCCAATTGCAGCACTTCACATGTCTTTGGGTTTAATCCGTGTGAATTGAAATGCTATCTCTATTGCCGTGAACTTGGAATAAAAATTCATTCAATGCCCAGAATACTCTCTATCACTATGTTCTTTCTGTTGTAGTACCACATTACCTGTATATGCAGTCGTGGGTAGCTGCACTGTAGCATCCTAATGTAAAGTAAATTGATCCTATAAGTCCTAAACACCTGGTAAACCTGGCTTGAATTTCAAGGATGTCATAGAGCCAGATGTTTTGAGCTTTACTGCAAATATTCTAGTAATAATCAAAGGTGAGATTCATCCCATTGGACTCAAATGCCTACAGAAGGTGTATAGTTATCCTACTTGGTATTTGTTGGGCACTTTCACAGAGCAATTCAGACCAAATAGGTGCCTATTGGGTCTTCAGTGGCAATAAAGATAATGCAAGGTCACTACATTTTTAATTAAACACTTTGATGTGTGAGCCAGATGCTTTGGGTTTTGCCTAGGATGGGTAAATGGAAAGAACTGATACGAAATATTTTTGCCATTAAGTTAAGGGAAATGACAATTCTTTCAATAGCATTATGGTTCTGCTGTTATTCATGTAGGTTATCAGTTAAGAAAAGTCTTCTGTGAGTGTGAAATTCAGTGTGTTCTTTTTTTTTAATGGTTAGCTTATATTCTGAATGCTGATAACTTTGTAGACAGTGCGATTTTAATTTAGTGGAGAAGCCAGTGTATATAGTTGGAACAGTCTGTACGATTGGGAAGGTTTACTTAGCTGAACTGTGCCTTTTAAACTAAAAGTACCTATTTATACTACCAGGCATCCTACTGGCTTTCTTAATGACTTAGAGTTTTGATTTGCTGTAATAATGGAACTAAGGAATTGAAATACGAAGGCACTTTATCAAAACAGGTTTTATGAAGTAATTGAAAACTGGAGTTTTTGCAAAAGAATCACTTATGTTCTGCAACATACACTTAAATGCATGTCTAATTGTAAGCATGTGAGTTATCTCACTAGAAGTCAATAGGACGTCTCCTTGAAGTTGTCTGTATGTTTGAGAACCTCCTTAAATTATAGCCATTGTTCTCAACATTGGCATGCCATTCTCGGTAGCTCCATCTGCTCCTTGTTTTTCTTGTTTTTGTTTAAAAAGTTCTCAACTTATTTGCTCAACTTTATTGCTCTGTCATTTTTCTTTTTTCCTATACAATATAGTGAAGAGAACCTATGGAAGAACTGAGAAAAGGCATGCATGAGCTGAACTCAGCCTTCCCTCTTAACTGCTAAGAGTTCTTGGAATAATTTAATTTTGTTTGAATCGCTAATCAACGTCACAGTTTTATTTTGGTGACTGCTTACAGTGGAGGCTATAATCTTGGAAAGCCAGTGGCTAAGCTGTTTTAGGACATATGAAACACTGTGGCCACCTTTTGCCCTTTTCATGTTTTTTGAGTGGAAAAAGTTCAGCTCTCCTTGTTACAATACATAAGGGTCCAGTCATTATGGGTATTCAAACTTTTCTCTGCTGAGGTCTAGTATGTATAAGCAAGGAAAAGTAGCCTGTGTTTAACAAAAACAGTTCTAACATTGTCAGTCAAATTCATAGCATCATACCAAACTCATAAAAGCTAGTAACTTTGCTTTTTTTCCAAACTGGCACTTAAATACGAACTTTGTAGTTATTCTGAAATGAGAATAACCATCTTGCATGTGGGGTTGTTACTCTTTTGCATGAGAGCTCATTCAAGAAGTGATTTTTTTCTTTTTTAGATATTATTTGTACTAAGTATCAATTTATAAACAGCAGGTTCTCCATTCTAGGCATTATACTAATATCTACTTATGCTTTTTTTCTTCTTTGATTTTTATCTCTTTTTCATTTTCCTTTTAACAATACCATAAGTATTCATGCTTAAGTTACTTCAGAGCAGCTCTGGACACCATTAGATTTTGCTTTAGTAGAATTTATGGTCCACAGACAGTATGTTTACTTTTATTCTCTTTATTATCAGTTAAAATTGTGTATTTGGCACTTTCTTTCATTTACATATATCAGGTTGTCCTTTGTTTTGGGTTTTTTTTATGTTACCATCCATTTATCACAGGCCACTGTGGAATCTATAATGAGGGACAAGATGCCCAAAAAAGGTGGAAGGTGGTGGTTTTCATGGCGAGGAAGGAACAGTACTATTAAAGAGGTAAGTTTAAGAAGCAAGCAGAGTTTCCTTCTGGGTGCAGTGGGAATGCAGGGTACCCCTATATTCATCCTTCAGAACTTTACTTCTGAGAATAACTCAATATTCAATTTGACTGAGGCTATGCACATTAAAATATGTTTAAACACGGTCTAAAGTCTGACTTCTTTTGACTTCAGAAGTCTTTGAATCAGATCCTACCTGAAACATTTGCCCGCAGTGTTTTAGTTCTCCATTTATTTTCATTACACAAATGTGAAGCAGTGTTATCTAATAGATTAAATCTGTGTTTGGGAACCTAGAATCAAAGAGCTTTGCCACGAATTTAATATTGTTGTGCAGATTACCTTTCTGCAGCTTTCTTTTGATAGTTGAAGAACAGACCTATTTGAGTAGTGTGAGCTGTAAAATTTATCAAAACTGCAGATGGAAAACTGACGATATACTAAAGTCTTTTTGGATTTCTTTTCTGAGCATTAAAAGTCTGTGGTAACAGTCTTAAAGCTATGGATGAATATTAAAGAACAATGAAAAAAGCAAAATTTTGTATGAAATATTGATCTCCTGTCTAGACATATTTAATCTTTAAAGTTGGCTAATAAAACTGCTTCATATTAATTTATACTATTGAAGCATTAGTACTTGAAGGGAGAAAATGACTTCTAATACATTTTTATGGTTGTGCCTCAGTCGATGAACTTTTTTAGCCTTTCATGAAATAACCATTGTACTGATCTGTGGATGTGGGCTTCAGAGTGCAAGATTTTAGTTTTTACAGTTTGAGGACTTTAGAATTTCTCTCTGAGTGGAAGTATTTGGTTATCTCTTGAGCTGTGGCAGCTGTAAATAGATAAGGAGAGGTATTATTATTGTTTGCATGTCTCATGAAATCATTCATATTTAAAAATCTTGTGGGATTAAATTGATAGAGCAGTTTGTCTCTGTCTAGAGCTTTTACTCAAGGTAAAAGAAATTTGGAAGTTTTACTGGATTAAGGATTTTAATGACTCTATGAAAGGTAATTGTATTTTTATTTTACTTCTCCAGAGTCATACTTTGCTTTTTAAAGTGAAATCTAGGTATTTGAGGTGCATGAACTGAGTAGTTACGCAACTGATCCCAGAACTTCAGCAGTGCTAGATGTGAAATCTGGTATTTCTGTGCTTCTTCCATGCAAAACTAAATATTAATTCTTATTCTGAGTTTTATATTTACAATTTTTAGTTCTTTGTGCAGCCTTTATTCTTCAAGAAAACCATGAAGTTTTACTTTGCCTACAGGCAAAGGAAACAAACATGCTGTTGGTTTTTACCAAGTCAGTGCAAGATGTAATTTGATTTTCAAATATTTTTCTAAAAACATTCTCATACTTGTATTTTTACAGGAAACAAAGCCAGAGCAAGGTATGAGTGGGGGTGGACTTACAGAAGACTCTTCACAGATGAGTATGGCAAACAGGTACCCCCAAAATTGTCTGTGCCTGAAATGAGCAGGAGATACTATTTAAAAATGAAAGCAAGCTACCTCTTGTATCTGAACAAAGAAATACTGTGTCAGTGAAATATGTTTAATTTGTTGTTCATTGCCCCAGATAAGTGCAGATAGGAAGGCTCTACCCATGGCAGGGTTGTAGACCTTGCGAGTGCACTCTGGCCTCTCTGTGGTTAGTCTGGCAGCTCTGCGACACACATTCCAGCCCTTTGAAAACAAACAATAATTGGAGCAGTTCTCCAAAGCTATATGTGTTTCCCTGGAATTTTCAAGGGAACATCATAGATGACTCCATGCTGTTGTTAGATCCCAGTTGCTAAAATTTCTGATTTACTTATATTTGTGGTCTGACAATTTAAGTGGGTCCTGCGTGTTTTAGGACTTTCGAGAGGTTTTTTCACAGGCAAAAGTCGTGGTTTTCTATTACTTCTTTCAAGGGTTGCGGAAGTCTCTTCTTTCTTCTGCTCCAAACCAATTGTACTGCATGGCCAGAATTTCTCCTTCAGAAAGGTTCTACAAGGTCAACTTTAACTTGCTTTGGAGGGATGAGTTAGCCAGGGATGGCTCTCCTACCTTGCCCTTTTGCTGGACATGCAGATTTTGTTGTAAAGACAGCCCATCTTTGTGCTGTCTGCACTTCGAGCTGAAAAGGGCCAGATTCCTGCGTGCTTTATGCTCATTAAGTTCAGTTCAAGGATCACCTTTATGAAACAGAAGGAGATTAGTTGTCATTCTTTCTGGAGGTCTGCAGTTGCAGTCCAAGCCAATGTACTGGAAGGAGGATTCTTCATTCTGTAGGAATCCAGCTGTTACCTCAGTTGCCCCTCTGAGTTTGTGAGAGCCACAGAATAAATCGGAAAGGCTGAGTTTCCTTCTAGGGATGACAAGTGACAGGCCTGTTGTTTCTTACATGGCTGTTTAAAGATAAGCTTTAAAGTGGGATTAAGACTTCAAGCAGACTAGCTTCTGTAATTGACATTCTTTCTTTAAATTTTAACTGACCTTAGATATCTGTCATTAAGAATTTATTGCTTGCAAGCAAAAATGAGACAACTGGGGTGTTGAGTAAAGCTTTTGAGATCTGATGTTACAAAGGATGAGATGGGCTTTTAAGTGTTGCTAGTCATAACATGCGGTACCTTGATATTGAGTCAAGGCTTCCTAACATCAAACAACATCAGATGTGATCAAAATAAGAGCCCAAATGCTGAGGATATTTTACCTTCCACCTAAGGTGATAGATTTATTTACTGTAGGAGAACTTTCTCTCTGAAGAAAAATATCCTGAACAATAATCTGAAAAAATGGTTGCAGCAGAAAAAAAAAAAGAAATTATACTGATGTGTATTTAAACAGAATTGTGTAAAGGAGCTCAGGTTTTATGACTTTTCATCATCATATCCTGAATGGGGTAATCCTGCAAATCCTGTAAAACAATAATCCAATGATCTAAATTTGCTCATTGACAGAGGAGGAGTCACTTTATATAATAAAAATTCCATCACCTCGATTTTTTTTATTAATTGCTAAATTCTTTGGGGGGAGGAGAAGGGGACAAAGGGGAGAAGAGAAAGCCAGCATAGCAAAAACCTCCTTCATCATGTGAGGACTGGGGAATTTTTGTAGCTACAGCATCTAATGGGTATTATTTTTTACCACTATGAGACTTTTGAGTCAATATGGCACGTTAAGTTACATCCATTAAATTTAAGTAATGAAAACTAGCGTATAAACAAGTGAATGGCTAGAACAATCCAAGTATAAATAATGGGGTACCTGCGTGAATGAAAATTCAGCACTTCATTGATATATTTAAAGCCATGATGTGAACGACCTCCTGTGAGACAGTACTTAGGAGCAGAGAATCAATGACTTATTTGGTGACTCACTGTTAATGCATTTTTAATGGATACTGAGATGCATTTGCTGACATGATAGCATCATTTTCTGTGTGTGCAATGTTTCAGAATAAAAGATGAATCTTCTTCAAGCGATGAAGACCCAAGAGCTGCCAAACAAAACCTCGGGTCATTACAAACCAACTCAAGTCATCTCTCATTATTGTCTGGAATCAGTTACAAAAAAACGCTTCGACTCACTTCTGACCAGCTTGTGAGTTAATTTTACATCCTTGTCCTGAAATGTCATTTCTAATACCACATGAACAATACTTTTATTCAGGCTTGCAAATCTTAATTAGCTCTTCTTGCGTTTAATTCTCTCTGTTACTATATTTTCAAGAAAAATATTTTCCCTTCACTTTTCAGTATTAATCATGAATGTTGTACCTTGCAGACAGTGCTGGCGTTCAGAGAAAAATGTCAAAATTAAATTTCAAAGTATGTATTTGTCACCTGAATAAGCGTACTGGAGCCATGTCCTTTTTGTATTATGTATAATGTGTGTATGTTAACCCACAGGCCTCTCTTGTTTCTTTTTTTTCCTCCTCTCCTTTCCTTTCTCCTCGTTCATAGGCAGAGAGTCACATTTTACATAAATGCAGTTTTCTGTTAGTAACTTCTGAAAGAGCTGCTTGTGAATTTACTATGAGGCCGGGCTATAAATTTCTTGGGAGCCAATTCTTTTCCTCTGTGACAGAGGTGTTTTGACTAATGGTGACAAAACTGTTACAGCTTTGTGTTCTGCATGTTCTAATTTGACCTAGAAAAATAGGCTGCTTTAGGGAAATACTTTTTGTCATCTTATCTACAGTCAATTAATTTTCTGAAGGAAACCCACACAAGGTGTACAGCATTAAACAGTCCATCACTCACTGCCTGAATAATTTGTAAAAAATATAAAATTTTCCCCAAGAAACAGATAGGATATGTTGGTAATTTTCTATAGCAAAAAGAAAGCAAGGATTACACAAATATATTGATACTTTTCAGATTCAGAAGCCTCACAGAAACTAGCTGAAGCCAAAACTATTTTTAGATTGGTTTCTTGATGAAACAATGGGTGAGACTCATCAGTTACCCACCAATTGTTCTGCATTCCCACCTCCTTTTCACTTTTTAACTCATTGAAAAATTGCAGTGAAATATAACTAAGAAAAAGAGACACTTAAAGTATTGAACTCCTGCAGGTTTTGTGAAAATGGTTAGGTCCAGAAATAGAATCAAATCAGTAGTCACTTTCCAAGCGTGTCACTAAGTGACATAAGGAGTCTGGGAGAGAAAGGCAGGGAAGTGGGAGAGTTGAGGAGATTTGGTGGAGACTGAAGGTAATAGGTCATATGATATGGGAAGTGGGTTATTATAGGAAAGAGATGTAATACCATAGAACACAAATCTGCATATAAACACTCTTAATTAGAGTTCCTGGAACTCCTTGTTACCCACATTTCTCTCTGCATACGTGTCTGTATCTCAGAATGGATAACCCCCACAGATAGTCCCTATTCCATAATTTGTTATTGTTTATGTGACCTTTTTGGGATTTTTTTTTTTCGTATCCCTGACTGTGAAACAGAATTTTTTTTAGTTTGTGGTGTTCTCCTCTGTAAATCAATGCCTAACCTCTGCTATCGTTAGACAATAACTCTGCTGAAAGCAATAAGATTCAGTGTGACCAAGGCAATGATCATCTGTTGCTTTATGTTTGCACTTGTGTCCATTTCACGTGCTCAGTTTGTTGATTATCTTGCTGATAATGTCTTGCAGAAAAGCTTAAAGCTCAAGAATGGCCCCAATGACGTGACCTTTAGTGTTACAACACAGTATCAAGGCCCCTGCCGCTGTGAAGGCACTATTTACCTGTGGAATTGGGACGATAAAGTTATTATTTCTGACATTGATGGAACAATCACACGGTGGGTTCATGAACAAGGAGAGCCTTTATCTGCAAGGACAAGTTGACCTTGCAACTAAAGGAAAAGTAGTTAATAGGGAATTTGGAGTCACAAAGTCATCATATTCAAGTGTTCTGGGGGATACGGAGGGGTGTGTGTGTGGGGGGTTTATTATTTGTCTTTCAAACAATTCAAGAATCATTAGCTGAATTCTTGATTTCATAAAGACACATGCTATATGTACCCATTATTTGTCACCTACTGGTGTTTCACGATAGTATTTACAGTAGTATTGGAGGACTTTCTGCAAAGCCGTAACCTTTTTGTTGCATCACACTTATGAAGTACACTAGCTACGTTAAAATGAAGAAACTCGTGAATTCTGTTTTAAAAGGTATTACTGGGGCATTCCAGTGAGAGGCATTATTATTTAGAAGACAAGACCCCAAAATCAATGTCAGAATTAGAATTTGATGGAAAGTTTCAGTTTAGTACTTCAGTTAAACCCCACAATTTTGGAGTGGCCAAATCAATTAACTCATATTTATTTATTTATTTATTTAATACTGGGTAAAACAATTGTGTGTGGAACAGGGAAACACAAAAAAATAAGCATTTTCTTTTGACCTTTTAAAATGAAATGCTTAGATTTGTTTCAAAATCAATTTCTTTCCGAATCAAACTGGGGTATATCTAATTAGAAAAAAGAACAAGGAAAAATAATTTCCAAGAGCAATCTGAGACGAATTAAGATACTTGATTTAAACTGAAACTCTTTTCTTCCTTGTGATTTATCCATTGAAGGGCAGACTTTTTTTTGGTGCCAACATAAATTACTATTCCTTCCCTTGCTTTGTTTTCTTAAGCTTTGATAAAGTGAATGAAATCTACTCTTTTCTCTGCTGTTGAACTGACCAGAGAGTTACTAAATCACTTCACCATATAATGCCGTTGCAAATCCATCCTAAGCCACTGCCCAATGTTTTCTGTCTAATATGCAAGATATTCAGGGTGTAGATTCTTGCTGTGTATCTGTATAATGCTTAGTGAAGTGAGGTGGTCATTTGTTTGGATTTCTAGATGTTGTTACAGTGTAAATAATTTTTTCTCGTGTAAAGCAGGAAATACATTAAAACCAGTATAACTATTTCATAATACTTTATATACGACCAACTGCCAGCTTTATGTGGAGAAGCTAGTTTGAAGTTAGATAGAATGTAACTTATCTCATGGTTGCAATTTCCCATGAACTTCCCTTATGGATGGATTTGATTTATTTAGAAAACATTTAATGTAAACCTCAAAGTATACTTAGTACTGGCCAGCCTACTATAAACGTCTGATTGTCAGCCTATAAGGTGTAACTTCCACATTACCTATGGGTCATGAGCTTAGACAAGTCCTGGGGCACAAGAGTAATTAAAACAACATGGCCAAGGATGGCCATATCAGTCTGTCTCAAAAAGAATGGGAATAAAATAATCCTCTTCTGATCACACTCAGTACCTTACAGAAATCCTTATTTTCCTTCACTGCTAGCCAAATAAGTTAGTGGGGTTTGTGTGAGCCTCAACTGTTACTAGAAGTGTTGTTTTCAGTTCAGTTGTATTGTTTTTCCTTTATTCAGGTCGGATACTTTAGGTCATATTTTGCCGACTCTTGGCAAAGACTGGACACACCAAGGGATTGCAAAGTTGTACCATAAAGTGAGCCAGTGAGTATTCAGTAAATCTGTTATGCATCTGTGGCTTGTTTGTGTTTATTCATTTGCACATAAAGATTAAAGTTTCTCTAGGCTTCTCTTAACCTATAAGGGTAACAATTTCATCAATATCTTACTTCAGTGATGCTTACACAGTGTAAACATCTACTGTATGATATTCAGAGCAAAACCTGCTTTGTGATATGGAAAACAAAAGCCCCCTGACAATGAGTGGTGGTTGCTCTTCCAGCCATCCCAAACAAATGGCTACAGTTAATTCCAAAAACTATAGGATTTTGAATGAGTTGTGCGGTTGTAGCAAGTGGAACTTTTTTTGCAAACTGGGAGTTGCAGCAGCATTAATTCATAAGATGTTGATACACCTTCCCTTCTCTCGTTGTTGAGGAGACTGTGAAATGCATAAGGACTGTTTAGCCTAGGGTGGTCACTGTACGTGGAGTTCTTCATGCCAAACTTGACTTACCTGGAGTTGTGCAGGGATGAAATCTAAAACACATGGATTGAATTCATTTGGAGGAGTTCCCTCTCTTTCCAGTGAGTAGAAAGGGAGTTTAGTGAAGCAGCTTAGACTTGAGCTATCTAAACATTAGGCTTCTACTTAACCAAAGGTGACCTGCCTAGTGGATGAGGGAAA